TTTTCGCGTCCATCGCAATTCTTGTTTGTCTCCGTCGACTGTCGAGTCAGTCGGATGGCCTCTGACATACGCTTGCTATCCACCCTTCCCAACTCTCGCGGCAACTTACTTCTGGCATCTAGCTCAAGAGATGTACCGTCAATTTTTTAATTTGGGCTTCTAATTTCGAAAGGCATTTTTATAGCGGCATCCACACGCCCCCTTGGGAAGTCGCCTCTTAAAAGCTGTCGGGCGAAGACAATAAATATGCTTCTCTGTGGTTTACAGCTCACAATAGTGCTAAAACAACCCTTTCCTATAGTATCTGTTTTGGCTGGATTGCAAGTCGTTGTTCAAGTCAGAAAAGCTATATTCTGGAGATCAGTTGGTTAGTTCAATACAAGAAAAGGAGGGCGATGGAAAGATGTGCAGAAGAAACTGCAACAACACAACCTACTTCAGACGCTGCCGGTCAGTGCTAGAAAAGCGTATTTTGAGTAGTGAGCCGGAGAGGGTGCCAAAAAAACAAAGGGTAACAGGACGGATCACAGTCATCGCTGGTTACTAAACAGGGCCTGTTTAGTGTTGGCTGCTACTGTAAAAACTATAAAAATACATAAGAGTTGTTCAATCCGTGTCGTAAAGTTTTGCGGGGGAGGGGGCTGTAGGAGTAGTTTTTTGTCATCCGTACCCTCTGTTTCGACGCCGTTCCGGTGGTCCAGCACGCCTGTGTGGGTCGCACTTGGAAGGCCCAGGCGGGTGTAGGCCGACAAATGGGGTAGTAGGAGGAACTAAAAACGAAGGATATCAGGCTACGGGCCCGAAAGCAGACAGCGGTGGGGAATGCAGCGATCGACGGGCCTCATCCCTGGACACAGAGGATTGCATCGAGGTCGGCAGTTGCTCTTCTGCACCGAAAACGGCATACGAGGGTAGTTGATGCTCAGGACTGCCTTGTAAAGGTCGAGTGCTCTGATCACCGTCACTGTCAACACCCTCAGCTGTTGGGCGCTTCCTAGCAAAACGGCGTTTAAACTTCTTGCGTTCGAAGAATTTGGCCTATGGAAACGTAAATGATAGAAAAAATAAAACAGTCCGAGTGATATAGAATAGTGGTGACTATTTATTCATATCGTAGAAGGAGGAACTTTTACAACCGTCAGCGTAACACATAGAAGTGCAAGTTTGCAAAAGGTTATTTTTGCATTATACCTCCCTGGAGGTACGACTGGGGGAAGACTTCGCTGGTTCGCTTAGATTAGCGCGAAAATTATACTTTAGACCGAAGGACGATACCGTTAAAATTAGTAACTGTGTGATTGCCTAATCGGGCGAGTTGAGACTAATTTTTATAGGCTTGACACTTTCTACTGATGTCGTTTCCGTCTCCACGCACGTTTATTGGGATCCAGTTACATACCTTTTTGTTTTAGTCGTAAAACTTTCTGTATTTAGTTGAGCTGGCTTAAACGCACACTGACCGTATCCACTCCCGATTCATCTCGGAATTTCGTACCCCGTATACATAAACCGGCTGATTACAGTCTGTCCAAACTGTCTTCCCATATTAGTTTCCTTGTCAGTCAGGGCTGCGACATCAACCGTTATCATTGGTTTGGATTCACTGCACTACTCTAAGGTGAGTGTGAGGGACTCGAGATATAAACTATACGAAAGTCATGGGGAGTAATCACCTTATGCCTACATGCGCTTAGCAGTCTTCCTGAACCATTGCTAAGCAGTGGCTTAAATTCAGAGTTTCAGGCGGTCTACGGATGAATTACGGATTCTAACAGGCTTTTATTGCCGTCTACATTTCAGTAAGCCGCCAGCTATAAGGAGACTCTGAAATGAGACCGCATTTTTGGCCCTACAACGTTTACGAATCGCGTCACGCGAAGCTCGAAAACTTTGGCTAATATTACTTGCAGAACTTAAACGAACAAGGAATCCTCCGGTGATTTTTCAATCGAATTTTCCAAATGGAAGACGGTGTTTGTTATACCTCGTAAATAAGGCAAATACTCGTAGGGTCAAACTGGTGGGACTAGTCTATCGG